ATTTTTGCTGCAAACTTTCTCAAGTCCAACCCATTTTGCTTAATTAACTATTAAGCCACTACTTTTCAGCGCCCTTTTCTTGCTTATTTTAACACCTATTCAAACGCGCTTTAATTCCAACAGTAGCATACGTTGTTTGCCAGTAATGTAAGTGTACTTTAGGCACACTATTTGCCAATTTAGAGCCCTTAGCCCTTCGTCGTCCATTTCAAGTCGATCCAACCTGCCACATTGGTCGTCAATGCCTCCACATTCTCCTGTAGTAGCCTACTCTCCTGCTATCTATCTCTCTTTCTCAGCGACTGAAATTGCCCTAGGCTGTGTCACCAGCCTGAGCAACAACAATTACGCCTACAACCCTTTCATTAACAGGAATGCACAACTCGCGTGTAGTAGGACTGATTTTCGCTGCAGTAGGCAATTTTGGCATTACTCTACCATCACCACCACCACCTACGAACTTCAAGACCACCACCGCAAGCTTACCGGTTCAATGCCAGTCTCGTATGGCCCCTCCCCTTTAGCATTTACTTCAACTGTGAAGGACATTCGAAAATGCAGAAATACGGGCATTTAACTTTCATGTAGGAAATGACAACCCCCTTGCTCTGTGTCAACCCCAACCCCAACCGCCACCACCACCACCACCGCTACCACCGCTACCCATGCTCCCCTAACTTAGTGTTGCTGTAAATGACAGCCAATTACTCGATTCTTCTAACCGATGCCGCAGTGGACAGTAGAGAAAAATGAGTTGGTTTTAAATGCATTGCCTTATACATACATTACCGACTTCTTCGGCAACGACCAATTCACATGTTCACACCATCTTCTTCATCTTATGCTGTTTATGCGCTGTTAGGATTAACTGCGGAGATGGTTTCTGCTCCGGAAAAACGTATGTAATATGCATATATGCAAAAAGAAGTTAAGTAAAGACATTTACGGCATGGAGACGGGATAGAATCAACGCTGTGTCCACCATTAACTTGATTTTGAGATATGCAAGCATCTTGAGATCAAATTTCAATGCCTTTTAACAACTAAAGCTCTCCACTGCCCCAAGACCAAATTAAACAGTGCAGTAAAGTATTATTAGAGGCGTCAGGTATCCACCTGAAAAAAAACGACTTTCGGACATTAGCCACAGAAATGGTAAAATCTGTGCTACTTATGTCATAGCAGCGATAGTATTAGACACATTTAACACGAAGGTCGTTCAATGGGGTGATTTAACAAATATGCTTTAGAAGACAAAGAAGGACAAAAGGGAGTGTTTTATCGGTTTTTTGACATTTCATACTACAAACGAAGCACAGGAGAAATTGTAGGACTAAAACGTTTGTTATCAGTCACATCACATACAGAATGAATGCTGTCCAACACAATCAAACTTACAAAGTACAATCATTGCCCACCATACTAGTTCTTACAAGTCGCTTGGAGTAGTGTCACGTGGTCCCGATTTCCACGTAGTGGACTCTTTTGAAGGAGACAAACAATGGATCAGACAAGGAATTTAGATCGACCCAAATTCGCATTACAGGAACCAGTGATTAGTGCTATTCACCAGTATGATGATTCTAGTAACAGTACACTTTTACCAACACACTTTCACGCGAAACTATCGGAAAAAATAAGGCCTTTTGACAGTTAACACAACTAGTGCTGATTAATTTCTGAAAATTCCGAGTTACTCAAAGCAGCTCAGACATTCCGACATTTCACTTGGCATGTGCTGGCTGAATCGGA